AATAGGATATCCAAAGTAAATGTTACAATAACAGACACTCAATGCCTTGGTGCAAGAAGTATTGAAAGGGAAAGTGATATCTGACGCAAGAGATTGGGGCATCTGAACTACAAAAGCTTAGGTCATCTGAGTTCACGAGAATGACATGGGTAGCACTCATTAAGTTCAAACATGAGTTATTTGTTAAGTTCTAGAAGTTCAAAGTGAAGGATGAAAATCAAAGTGGACAAAGGTTGAAGATCCTCGTAACTGATGGTGGAGGCGAGTTCAAATCAATATAGTTCAAGAAATTTTGTGACGAATATGGTATTGAGTATGAGGTGACTACTTCATACACTTTACATCATAATGGTTTTGTTAAAAGGAGGAATAGAACTCTGATTGATATGACAATGAGCATGCTAAAGGAGAAGAATCTACCTAAGCAATTGTGAGGTGAAACAATTGCCACATCATCATATGTGCTTAATAGATGTCCAACAAATAAGTTAAATGAAGTAGTTCTCATTGAGAAGCGGACTAGAAGAAAGCAACGTGCCATCCATTTCAAGGTGTCTGGTTTAGTACGTTACAAACATATATTAGATGTTACTTGAAGGAAATTGGATGACAGAAGCAAAGTTATGTTGCTTATAGGTTACCACAATACAAATGCTTATAAGCTCTATTGCCCATTCACCAAAAAAGTTGAAGTCGGCAGAGATGTCATAGTGAAAGAATAAAAAACATGGTATTGGAGCAAATCTCAATCCAAATATAGTGTAGTTCCAACACAAGAGTCTGATTTTTCCTCTAAAGGTGATTCTGACTCTGAAGATGAATCTGACTCTAAAAGTGAGCATGGCTCTGAATATGACTTTAAATATGAAGGTGTGTCTGACTCTGATAATGGATATGACTCTGAAGGCGGTCCAACCTCTAAAGGTGGAGCTTTTAAAGGAGGCCATGCTTCTAAAGGTTTTCAGAGACCATAAAGAGTTAGACAGATGCCAATGAGACTTGCATATTTTGATTTGTTAGAAAACACTAAAATTGATTATGAAGAAGAAGTCATACAAAGTGCCATGATAGTGGACTCTGAACCTGTCAACATCAATGAGGCTTTCAAGAAGAATGTGTGGGTGAACGCCATGAAGGAAGAGCTTAAACCCATTGAAAGAAACAAGACATGAGAATTGGCTGTTATACCTCAGAAAAAGAAAGCCATCAATGTGAGATGAGTTTTCAAGATAAATTTGAAGCCATATGATTCAGTTTTCAAGCATAAGGCACAATTAGTAGCCATAGGATTCCTACAATAGTCTACTTTATACTACTTTGAAGTGTTTGCATATGTAGCTAGACATGAAACCATAAGGTTAGTTATTTCTATATATGCAAATAGGAATTGGCCTATGATACATTTAGATGTAAAGTCAGCTTTTCTAAATGGTCCATTGTAAGAAGAAGTTTATGTATTACAACCTTCCAAATTTGTGAGAGCGAATAAAGAAGGGGTGGTGTACAAGATGCATAAAGCCTTGTACGGGCTGAAACATGCCCCAAGGGCTTGGAGTCTTAAGATTGATTCATTTTCAAGCATATGGGGTTCAAGAAATGTGAAATGGAATATGGGGTGTATGTGCAGCATATTTCTGAAGGCAATGTGATTCTGGTGTGTCTTTATGTAGATGACATACTTCTGACAAGGAGTTGTAATTATGAGATAAACAAGTTCAAGAAGGTGTTGATGAATGCATTTGATATGTCTGACCTTGGAAATATGATATATTTTATAGGGATGAATATTTTTCACTTTGAGAAGGGAATTATTGTGCACTAACTGAAGTATGAACTTGAGTTACTGAACAGGTTTGAGCTCATGAATTGTAAGTCAACAATCACACATGTTGAGAAAAATCATAAGTTGGACTTTGATTCTGACAGTGAGGATGTAGATGCTACAACCTTTAAACAATTGATTGATTATTTGAGGTATTTGTGTAACATCCGACTTGACATCTGTTATGCAGTTGGAATGGTGAGTAGGTTTATGAGTAAACTAAAGTGGTTACATTACTAAGCTGCAATCAAGATTTTATATATGTAAAAGGGACTCTGATGCGTGGAATTATGCTTCCATATATAGTGTCAGATGATGCTGAGCTGATATGCTACTCAGACTGTAAGTGGTGTGGAGACATACTGGACAAAAGAAGCACTACAAGATACATGTTTATGCATATGAGATCCTCTATTTCTTGGTGTTCCAAGAAGTAACCAGTGGTTGAATTGTCAACCTGTGAAGCTGAATACATAGCTGGTACTTTGTCAACTTGCCAGACTATTTGGCTGATGAATTTGCTGCAGGAACTAAAGTTCAAGGTGAGCAAACCAATTAAGTTGATGATTGACAATAAATCTACCATAAGTCTTGCTAAGAATCAATTATTGCATGGAAGAAGCAAGCACATTAAAATCAAGTACCATTTTCTACACAATCAAGTTCAAAATGGAATACTTAAGGTTATTTATGTTAATCAGGACTCAGAAGCAACTTGCACACATACTGACCAAGACAATCAAAATTGAACACTTCATCAATTTGAGGGATGAAATTGGTGTTGTGGATTTTTCAAACTTGAATACGAATTAAAGGATGGTGTTGAAATGTAATTCATTTCAAGTTATGAGTTTGCATTTGAATTTAATCACAATTGCATTTAGATTTAATTTGTATATAAGTCAATAGTTAGTTGTAGTTTGTAACAATTCTTCTATTTTTGAGAAAAAGTTAGTTAGAATAATTTTTGACTCTCTCTCTCTCTCTCTCTCTCTCTCTCTCTCTCTCTCTCTCTCTCTCACACACACACACACACACTATTCTTGTCCATTGTTAACGGAGGTTCATAGTCGAACTCCAATAATTTCAAATACAATTTCCTTTCACTCTTCTTTTCCATAACTTGATTTTAGCGTTAAAGTGTTAACCTTGCGGGCCCCCTCATTCTACTGTGTCGGAAACCTCAATTTGTCATCACCGTCGTTCACTTTTCAATTCTAGTTCAAAAACAAAACAACTTCTTCTCATAAAACAATCATTTTAAATTTCAACAACGTCAACTTCTATGAGCTGTTTCATTTGTAATTATAATAATTGTCAATAAAAATAAAGGACAATCACTTAGACATGTTAGAACATATCAACCATAATCAATTTAATTTTAATGACTATATATTGCCATGTCAATAATTTTTTTCAAAGAAAGAAGTTGAGGATGTTGTGACTAAAAATGAAGATAAATATATAGTTTACAAAGTGTTGTTTATGAGAAGGTTCATTAGAGCATCTCCAATGATGCAACCCATTTTTAGGTTCTTTGTGGGACCCACTCTTTTAAAGCAACTCATTCAATTTTCACTTCAACGGTGCAACTCTAAAGAATCCATATTGGGTCCCACCACTTTACTTAAAAAATATTATTTATATTAAATTTATTTTATTTAAAATTATAATTTAAATATTTAAATTTTAATTAAAATGATAATTAAAATAATAAATAAAATTTTATATCAAATTATAATTTTTATATTATAAAATTAATATTTTAATATAAAAACCATTGAAGAAGCGTTGTATATTTAAGAACTTTTCCATCTTGAAAACAACAAATATGAGTGCCATGTTGGCAAACCCACTCTAAGAACTCCCATTAAAGTTGGTCTTAGTTAATTAATACTCCTTTTTAAATTTATAAAATTTTAATCACAACACTAAAAAAGAAGTATAATATCATCGCATAATAACATAATTTTGACATATTATATCTTAATAATTAATATGCTAATAATAAACTACTAAACATATCAATTGGTAAAAAATATTGGAGTTTTCAATTTTAAAAAACTTGTGCATCGCATTGATTGACGATCTATTAAACTCAATTAGTTATAGTATATATAATAATATTAATTTAAAATATTTTTCAATCAACTTTTATGTATATTTCATAAAACTCTTTAATTTGTATAAAATCAAATGTTATGACACTTTAAGCAAATACAATAAATAAATAAAACCAACTAATATTTTTTAATTGATTTGTTATGTCACTGTTGAAAGTTTTAAGCAATGAATGATGTAATATCTCATTCATTCATATGTTATATTTTGAACGTGATTAAAACAAAAATCAAATATTTGTACAAATTTAAAGATTATTTGATAATCTCAAATATTTTTACATTATTGAATCATATTAACTAAATTCATATTCTTTTACTCAAAATAATATATTATTTGAATTTTTATATATTTTATAAAAAAATTAATTCTACTTTTATAATTTTTTGGCTTAATTAATTCTTCTATTTTATCTCATTTAGTGAATTAATATCCCTATTTCAAATTTATACAATTTTAATTTAATTAGATTTTTGATTTTTTATTTAATATTAAGGATTAAAACGAAAATATTATTCATTTCTTATTAATGTAAGATTTTCATTCTAATAATTTGATAATAGAAAGTGACAAATTATGTGTAAAATAAATTTTAGAGAAAATAAAAAATTCTTAGACAAAATTTAGAGAATAAATTTTCAAGAAACAAATGATTTCTTATAAATTAATTTTATTATATTTTAGAGTAAATAATTTGAATTTAAAATAAAGAGATAAAAATATATAAATAAACTTATTTATTTTTATTTATAGATCCAAAAAGAAAAACGTTTATTTTGACGTGAGAACTTGCGAACTTTTTCCCACGTTTACAAAACCTCGTGTAAGTACAATAATACCCTTCCCATGATGCGAACATTGGTAATAGCTCCGCAGTTTCAGCATTCTATAGTAGACACGCTTCCGCAGCGGATAAAAGTCTTAACGTAAATTACCATTCGCCCCTTATCACGGCTCCTTCTACCGACTGCGTACGAATCAAAACAAGAACAAAACAAAGCCGCGAAAAAGTTTCCAGAAGGAAAGAGAGAAATAAGACAGAAAATACACAGAAAACATGAAGATCACGGCTCTGCTGGTGCTTAAATCTACCGGTGACGGTTCCGAATCGGTGTTTCTAGCAAACGCTTCAGATGTGAGCCACTTCGGTTACTTTCAACGCTCCAGCGTCAAAGAGTTCATCGTTTTCGTAGGTCGCACCGTAGCCAATCGTACCCCTCAAGGACAGCGTCAATCCGTTCAGCACGAAGGTTTAATTTCGAAAACTTCTCCATTTTAGGGTTTCCAATATCAAATTATGCGAATCGCGCGTTTTGAATTTTCCATTTTAGATTCTTGTTTTCGGTTGATCTGTCTGGATCGGATTCCTAACTAACTTTTTTATTTATTGTTTTGTTATTTCTTTTGGTGTAAGAGATAGCATTATTGGTTTGATGTGTGATCGTGTGTTTTTATATCCGGTGATGGTTAATTTTGGGAAAGAGAGGTGTTGGTTGATTATTTTGTTATCAAAATTGTGAGGGCTTGAAATTCTATTTACCTTTGCAGAGTACAAGGTGCATGCGTACAACAGAAATGGTCTCTGTGCAGTGGGATTTATGGATGATCACTATCCAGTTCGGAGTGCGTTTTCTCTTCTCAACAAGGTGAGAATGAGAAGAGGGTGTTTAGGTTCAATGTTAGTTCATTTTGTTTTGCCATGAAAATCAGGAAGTTGGTGTTAATAGACAATTTGATGATTATGCTTGATGATGTAAAAATCATCTAATCGTACTGGTCATTAAAATTTGATAATTATGCCTCTGGTATTGCCGAGGATGCTTTAATTATGCATTGACACTTTTGGTAGGCTCATCGGCTAGAACTACTGTGGATGTAAGATTATAAAATTGTCTTATTATATTAATAGAGAAAACTGTCTTATTAGTTATCTAATTTATGGATATCTTGAGACTGGCTCTCTTTGATTTCCATTTTGACATGGTTTACTGTCTTGATATCTTAATAACCCTGATCATGTTTAACTTCCTAGTGAACATACTAATGAAGGTAACCGTCAAGTCAGTAACGACCACTTATTAGATTTTAATTGCAGGGCCTAGGTCATAGGTTTCAGATCTATAACTTCTATCTGCTAACAAATTACCAATATGAATATGTTGCATTAATTCCAAATCTAATGAAATCATGAAAACAATTGGTTTGAGAAGAATGATATACTACTGCCTAATTAGCATTATTGGTGTTGTTTTTCAAGTGTGTCTTGGCCATCATATATAATATATCCCAGTAGGACTTTATTATTCATATCCTTCTATTTTGCTAATGAGGATCTCATTTTCGAACATCTGTTTCCCTTTGTTTGTCTTTATATATCGATGTAACTCTGCCTACGCCTAGTATTGACCTGCACCATGACTAATTAGTTAACTCTTTTGCCCCCTCCCCAAACATAAGTTCGAATTTCCTGTCCTTAGTGAGAATTCATTGTCTGCTTAGTGAATGTTTGCAAGTTTATGTTTCCATATGTTTGGGTGGTGGATAAGAAGTTATATCCGATGGAATGCATCTGATGCATGTAAATTATTGTTTTTCTAGATGGTAATAAAATATGATGTCTTGCAGGTGCTGGATGAATATCAAAAGAGTTTTGGCGAATCATGGAGAACCATTCAAGAAGACAGTACTCAAACATGGCCCTATTTGAATGATGCTCTCACGAAATTCCAGGCATGTAATTGCCTTTTCTTCATTATATTGGCTTCAGATTGACGAGTTGTTGATTTTTTATTAAAAAAGTGTACAATATTCAAAATTGTGTCTAAGGAGTTTTTTTTTTTCCTTTCTGCCAACCTTTCACATTATGGCTTGACTCAAACCCCCCCTTTTTTTATGCCCCTGTCAAATTTCAGGATCCTGCAGAGGCTGACAAGTTGATGAAAATCCAGAGGGAGTTGGATGAAACAAAAATCATCCTTGTAAGCATTAAACATACATGTCTTTGCATTGCAAAGTAGCATATAGGTTCCATGTATCTTTTGTCTTCTAAATTTACTTTGTCATGTCGTTATTCAATTTTTAACACCAAATGATAGGCTTGGTTGCAAATTTATCATTTCTTAGCATCATGATGTGATGTTGACATGTGGAAGATTTTAATGATGTCTGTCAGCTGGTTAGCAATAATTCAGTTTCTGTAATTATTACTTTTTGCAATATGTTCGTTTCTTAGTAATGTACATTTACTTAGTAATTTTATTTGGGTGAGTGGACTTCTCTCATTTCCTCTTTACTGCTCTATTGGCTTGTTTTGGTTCTCTGCTGTGTAGATTTCTAAGAACTGCATCACACACAAATGATGTAGTGTGTATCCATGACCTACTTTATTATCTTCTCTCACCATTTGATTTTCTGTTGTAAACAGCACAAGACCATTGATAGTGTTCTTGAACGAGGGGAGAAACTGGACAGTTTAGTTGAGAAGAGTTCTGATCTGAGTGCAGCGTCGCAGGTAAGCAATACAGCTCCAGTTTTACAACTTTGCCCTCTGGGATTTTCCCATAAATGCATTCATATTATATATTCAGACGTCTGTTATTTCTTCAACACTTGTTTTGCTAATGCTTCGGCGTATGTGGTTATGGTAGTATTCATTAAGCATTTTATGAAAATTGCATTTCTTCTCGTGAGTAATGTCATTGTTGGTTAGATTTTTTTGCAATGCTTTTATTGAAGTCATGACAGTGTTATAAATGCCTGTCCATAAGTCAAGACTCAGCATTCTTGCTTTAAACTGATTGTCTTAGGAAGAATACCGATAGGATTAATTCCTATTTAAATAAGGGAGAATGTAATGTTAATGAAAGCAGTAGAATATTGCAATAAATGCAAATGAAAATGCTTTCAAAGGACCCAAGTTACAAGCCCAAAAATGAGAACACACACCATCTCTCTCTGAACTTCCCTAAGACTTCATATATGCGACTCTCCCCTAACTAATGTTCCCTCCCATTTGCTGTGTACATGGTAATTCCACTCCTGAAAGGGAGTATTGACCCACATAACCCCATCATTAGAGTCTTATTTAGACTCTTCCTATTTATTAGCAATAGTCTCCAAAAACCTATTAGTACCACCTGGTTGAAAAGTATCTCAAAATGCAATGCTGCAAAGGACCATGCAATGTCACCGACATGGATTATTAGGTAGCTCAATTTTGATGAATAGTTCTTCTGTTGAGCCAATTGCTGCATCAGTGTCAACTCCTAATTTTTCAGGGTGAAGTGAATAGCAACAAGCCGACCACAAGGGTCTAGTGTGCATAAGAATAATTATTTGCCACTATGAAATACCAAACAAAAATTTAAATTCTTTAGGTTCTGTATTTGGTCACTGGTATGTGCTTTTATTGTCTTTGGTCTATTATTATTTGTGCATCAGGTGATTTTGAACTTCTCCTTTTTAATACCTTAGTTGGTTGCATCTCATGAAGAGAAACTCTCAGTTAACTATGAATTGAAATTTGTTTCACTCTTACTTTGGTGAGCTGACACAAGAATCTGATTCTGGCATTTGAAACAGATGTTCTACAAGCAAGCGAAAAAAACCAATCAGTGCTGTACAATATTGTAAGCTTTCAAGACCATCAGTATCACGTGAGCTCGTCTGAATCCTGTTCTGACGTTGATGCTGTTGGATAGGGTGAAAAGCTTCGTATGTCTATATCACTCTCCATTGTCTGTTTTGTGAAAAATTCTGTGATTTTCCCGGCTATATGTATTGCATACGGGAACGAAATATTGGCCAAAGGTCTCAGTGTGTTGGCAAAATAACATTCTCATTTACCTGGTTTGTGATACTTACTTTGATAATTTATAGTGTTTTGCATATAAAATTACTTTGATGAAGCCAATTCCAACTTACAATATGTAGTGGGATATCGTCACGTGCTCATCTTTCATGTTATCTGCTTTAAGTTTTTTTTAATTGATTTAATAGTAGTGGTCCTATTTTATATCATTTAAGATTTAGGTTTGTCTTTTGAGATTGGGAAAAATTTTCTACACCCGCATTGCATTACTTTATAAATTATTAAAATAAAAGTCAAATTTCTTTTATCATCTAATGTTTGGAATTATTTGACTGTAAATTTTTTTTACACAAACAGTGCATTTTAATTAACTCTTGAATTTTTAATTTTACAATTTTGATTCCTTAATTTTAAAATTTCTAAAATTGATCCCACCACCACTAACTTTTTAATAATGTGGTAATAGTAATATAATATAATATGAAAGAAGTGGAGATATGTGGCTGCTACAGCAGCATATCAATGATTAATAACTTATATCTATTATAATATAAATCCTCTTGTGTCTCCAAGCACTTAAACTTTAAAAACTGTTTTCTTTAAACTTTAATCTCACACAAATTCTAAACAACTACGCCTATTTTAATTCAAACTCTAGCCATCCAATCAATTATTGTCATTAACAGATGATTTTTCAATGCCTTAGTGATTAATGATTCTTTTCACGTACTAATATGCATAGTTTCAATGAAAATTCACTTGTAATCATTGTGTTATGCTACATGCATTATAAATTTTGAAATTAGCTTTTACATTTCAATCATGTGCATCTTGTTCGTGTTTGAACATTAGCTACTATCAAATCATATAATTTTTGGGAAAGCTCGTGAACGTTAGAATGACTTTGAGAGAACTTTTTTTACACCCTATCTATTTTTAGTGCGTCGTGAGAATATTCTTTTATGCCTTCCGTTTTTAGAGATATATTTTTGGAAGCATTTTATATAGACCTAACAAAGATCGTTATGAATGGCTCTCTATGCATCTGGTCTATTTTTATTTCGGAGATATATCTCCATAACAGTTTGTTAAAAACATATAAAATGTTTAGTACAGTGAATATTGCAGAAATATATATTTATAATTGTGGATGACAATTTGAATTTTTCCGTCACCTTTACATGTCAGGATCTTCTGGAGATGTATCTCTGAAACCATCTGATATAGCTTACAACTGCATGATTAGTCACCCATTGTTGCTATTCTTCATTTTCAACTCAAACCCTCACCATGAAAACCTTTCATTTTCAATCTATTTTTTCACTCTAAATCTTCATCCTTTTGGTTCAACATATCACAGGGAGGAGGAAAAATAGAATTTTAGGTAAAGATCGTTCATTTTCATCTACTTTGCTCACATTAATCATATATTTTTGATGAAAAAATTACGTTGTGTTCGGAGATTTATCTTGGAAACGTATAAGAGATGAACTTGTCTAGAGATACATCTTCGAAATGTTTTAGTGTTCATTTTTCAGCTCCTTCTGCATCAATATATTAATAAATGTACTATTATTGTTTTAATTGTTTTCAATAGATATGGTGCACCCCGATGTTTTTCCAAAACAAGTAGTTTCTCCGCAAGATGTTTCTCCCAATGTTAAAAGAGTTGTTGTGAAGGCGGTAGATTTTGGCAACGACTTTAACAACAAGCAATAGTTTGAAAATCGTGATAACATGCTTGAATCAATTTGTATAAAGGCATCTAGAATTGGATTTAATGTGGTTATCGGAAGTTCAAATAATGACAGATAGAAGATGCACCTTTGTGACAATGTTGTGTGAAAGAAGCGAGAGCTATCAAACTCTTATCCAAAGATTGAAAAAAGACGACATAGACAGTAGAAAATGTGAGTGTGCGTTTAAACTTCGTGGTTACATGTCAGCTAACAAAAATGAAGATTTAATGTCATTTGTGGTTTGCATAACCATGATTTATGCTTAAAATTGGCCGATCATCCTAGCGTATGTTGGCTCAAGCTGGAAGAGAAGAAATGTATTAATGACATGACCTTGAATCTGTTCAACCGAAAAATATACTTGCATCATTGAAAAATAAGCAACCTAGCAATATATTAAATATCAAGCAAGTGTATAATATTCAGCACCTCACTAATAAGGCGATTCTGGGGGATAGAACTGAGATGCAACAACTGTTGAAACTATTGGAGGATAACAGTTACATGTTGCGATACTGAACTTGCGACGATGAAGCTACAATTAGAGATATTTTTTAGGCTCATCCTGATTCAATAAAGTTGTTCAACACGTTTCCGACAGTGCTCATACTTGATTCTACCTACAAGACCAACGAGTATAAACTTCCATTATTTGAGATGGTTGGTGTTACCTCAACTGAAAAAAACATACTTTGTTGGTTTTTCATTTCTAGATTGTGAAAAAGAGGACAATTTTACTTGGGCATTAAAGGTGTGTTGGTCACTTTTGAAGGATCAAGGTGAGATGCCTAAAGCTATTGTTACCGACCACGATACCGCATTGATGAATGCAGTTGCAAAGATATTTCCTTCTTCATATGTATTACTTTGTAAGTATCAAATAACAAAAAATGTGAGAAGTCAGGTTAAATCCATGGTAGAGACGAAACAAGTAGAGTTCGAAGGTGAAAAGTTGGTGAAGTCGGGTGTGATTGTGGAAAAAATAATGGATGCATGAAATCATATAATAAATTCTTCCACAAAAGAATTATATGCCAATTTCGTCGTTCATTTCCAGAAAGTGTGTGAAAAGTATCTTGTTTTGTTGAAATATGTCGAAAGCACCATTATTGATCTAGTGAAGGAAAAGATAATTTGCACATAGACTGATAATGTTAGACACCTTGAAAATACAACTACTAACAAAGTTGAGTCAACCCATGCTACTTTGAAAGATTGGTTGGAAAATAGAAAGGGGGATTTGTGCCGAGACTGAGACTCCGTGAACCACATGATTTAAAACCATCATAATGAGATACAAATAATATTTGGTCAGAGCATCACGATTTTGGAGCACCTATTTAAAGACAACACTATATATTCTCAGTTGGTCGGTAACATTTGTCGAGCTGGTAATGTAGGCTTCGATAGCACAAAGTGTGGTTGCACTATTGTGAAAATATATGGTCTCCTGTGTGCTTATACTCTTGCTAAAAAGGTGAAACTTGGTGAACCAATAAGAATGGCTGAGGTTTGCTCTAATTGGAAGAGACTTAGGTTCGACGATGATGGATGCATGAATGATAGGAAACCAAATATCTCAATTTTGACCAAATGAGAAGCAATTAAAGAGAGATTTTTGAAGGCCGATGACAACATGAAACTACACATCAAAGGACAATTGAGGAAGATTGCCTATCTTGAAATCGCCTTCTCAACCAGTACAAACAAAAGGTGCTCTGAAGAAAATGAAGTCTACACTGAATGAAAACTCGAATACACGGCCTCCTTCATACTTTGAACATGTTGACAATTTTTTTCCTGACTCACTGACTCCAAAATCTCTAAAAAGTGTTGTGAAAGGAGCCCGCATTAGCAAACAACTTCGACGTCGCTTCCACCAAAAATTCCATTCATTGATGAGATGCCGATTTTTATGCACAAATATATCAATCATATCGTCAATGTTGAGGGGGACAAAATTGCGGTTATCAAGCTGTTTCAGATTTACTTGGTAAGGAGAAGATAGTCATGCACTTGTCTATCTTCAACTTATCCAAGAGTTAAAGATGCATAAAAATCGTACACACTGTTGTACTGAAATAAAGAAAAATTCAATGCAGTTCATGAGCCTCTTGTTCCTTGCTTGAGCGGTCAGACACCGGGATCAAAATGGATGAGCTTCCCAGATATGGGTCACCTAATTGCATGTGCATATGATATGGTGCATATTGACCTTACACACTATGATTTTTCAGAAACCTTTTTCCCACTACGCACCACACTACACCAGAATCCAAATGATCGTATCATATGTATTGGATGACTTTTAAAATCAACTCATTTTGTTTAAGTTTACTTGAAATCGGGTTGCCCTACACTTGTCTGTTATATGGTTCTGTTTTGGAAATATTGCAGGGAAAGTTTCAGAGATACATCTCTGGAAGGTTAATTTATTTGTTTTGTTTTGAAATGGTTCATGGAAAGTTCCAGAGATGCATCTCAGGCACAAGATAATAGGGTGCATTTCTAGAGATATATATCCGAAATCAATATGACAATCAATGAGTGGTCTATATTGAGCTAGGTCTTCTATAAATTTAGATGTTATTATGTTATATTTCACACAAACTCATAATGTCTCAAATTTTACAAGTAAACATTCGTTGGTACGTCGCAAGTGTCTCCTATTATATCTTTTGTTGCACTGTGTGACGATTTTGGATTTAATTTTCATTTCGTAAGTCCAAATGAGACGCTGTTTGAAGTGTTGGGAAGCTAACACTCACAACAACCTCATGGTAGTGCTTGGTGAACTGTTTGAATTATAATCATGTGTCTTTTATGGAAATGTTTATGCTAACTTGTATGATCGGTTAACGAATCGTTATGCTTATACGATTATATGTTATTGTTTTGATGAAGTAACATGAATGAATTCCTATGAAGTTAATTCAGGTGAATTGATGATGGTTTTTGTTGTATATTGATGTTGTAACTTTATTAATTGTTGCTATGATGAATGATGTTATGCAAAAATGGTGAGATGTCAATAATGATTCTTTTGGTGAAAATGCATGTTAACGAGAGTTGTAATACCCCAT